CACTTCGTGGCTGCTAGAGTCGATTTGAGCAAAGGCCCAGAAAATGTGAGTGAAAGTTGGGTCCACGGTTTTGACTTCGAATTTGTTTTCTGGACCCAGGTAATAGTATGAAGCTTTCACCATGGTGGTGGGGGGGAACTGGAGCATCTCAGCAGACATTTTGGTCGAGAGGGTTCTTTCGCAAGTGCTTTTGTGTGTTGTGTGTTTGTGATGTGATATAATCGAGGATAGTTTGGTTGCTATTTATAAGGGTTTTGAGAAACGATAAGGTATATTATTACCATTGAATATGATTTTTGTTATTGGCTGGCTAATTGCCCCTTCATGAAAAGATATATTCAGCAATTAATTAGTATAATCTAGTTTGGTCTTTCAAAAGCCTAAATCCTCTTCTGATGATGTGAGTGACGACACCCATAAAAGGAACACTATATAAAAGTGACGTATTATATTTACATGTTCTATAGAATATGTGACATCATAGGATAAACAGCGATTACACCATATAAACATTGATATTATGTTGAGGGAAAATGATTATTTTTTTCCCAACTATTTTAATCAGTTCAAAAAAAANATATATATATATATATATATAATAAAATAATTAACTCTATCAAAAAAATATATACATTTCTCCATTATGTGATCTTTCATGTTTTTTTTTTTAATCATGTAAATGAGTGATGCAAGTATTGAAGGGAAAAATAAATTTATTTATGTCGTGATGGTTTATACCTTCCGGGTCTGAAGGATAGAGAGCAGCAGGTGGTCGGGTCACGTCAGACCAATCCGGTCCGTAAAAGTCATAAGACATTATGTTAACAAAATCCAAATTCTTGGCAATGGCATCAACCGGGTACTGCAAGGAGGAGTTGACATCGGGGGAGTAGCGAACCGCAGCAGTTAACAGCAAAGGAAGTTTACCGGTTTTGACCGAGTCTTTCTGAACCGCTACACGCCATTCTTCAATAAGATGCCGGAAGTTGCCCACCTCCACTTTATTGCTAGGATATTCCCAAGCAAGATCGAGCCCGTGGAAACCGTACGTTCTAGCGACATCGATGGAAGACTCAATGAACGCTTTCCGGTTTTCGAGTGTTCTTGTCATGGAATCAAACATGTTTTTTTCTGCGTTTTTACCGCCTATCGACAAGAGAATTTGCAATTGCTCGTTTGTTTTGACGATTTCTGCGAACTTGTAGAATTGGGGTAGGTTCATGGTGGAGATATCCACTTCGTGGCTGCTAGAGTCGATTTGAGCAAAGGCCCAGAAAATGTGAGTGAAAGTTGGGTCCACGGTTTTGACTTCGAATTTGTTTTCTGGACCCAGGTAATAGTATGAAGCTTTCACCATGGTGGTGGGGGGGAACTGGAGCATCTCAGCAGACATTTTGGTCGAGAGGGTTCTTTCGCAAGTGNAGCCTAAATCCTCTTCTGATGATGTGAGTGACGACACCCATAAAAGGAACACTATATAAAAGTGACGTATTATATTTACATGTTCTATAGAATATGTGACATCATAGGATAAACAGCGATTACACCATATAAACATTGATATTATGTTGAGGGAAAATGATTATTTTTTTCCCAACTATTTTAATCAGTTCAAAAAAAAAGTCTATTATTAAGATAAGGATAAAGAAAGACTAGGCTATAGTAGACTATACATCAAATAAAATTATTTGTCATGTTAAAATGAAAAAAAAAATAAGTCGACAAAAATATTTTTTAAAAAGTAGGTAAAATACAAGCTTCAAGTTACAATATATACTATAGTATATAACACATTCATTTGTCAACTTTAACATCAATTTTTACTTCACAAAACTAAATTGTTTGAAATGTATAGCAAAAAAAACTAAATGAGCTCCCTCTCGCCTCCTCGATTCTCTTTTGGATCCAAAACAAAAAGTATTTCGTTCTTGTGTCCAACCGGGACGTGAATGAGTTTGCCGGTGTCGGAGGCATCCTCCTCTCTTTGCACCACTTAATTTCTATTTGCTTCATAGTAGCTTTTTTCTTTTCTCCTTCTTGCTCGAGGTTCTCTCTTTAGCGAATCATCCAGTTTGGACTATGCTCACGATGAGGTTTTGACACCGGATTTGGTTCTTCTAGCTTTGGAGGTTCGGTGGGGAGGTGGAAGGGTTGTTACCAGTGGAATCAGCGCTTTAGGATTTACAAGTGGACGTTTTTCCCTTTCGTCCCACTTGACGAGAAAGTAGCACATGGAGGTAGAGATAAGGCTCTCAGTTCAGGTCGAGTTTTTGGATTCTTAGATCGGCTGTCTCTGATCTTCCTGCAGAATGGAGTTGTTTTTTGGTTTGTTGGTTTAACTTGGTGTCTCGATGAATCTCGTCCTTTCAGTAACCAACATGAATCTCGGAGGTTTCGTTTCTCGAGTGCATGCTTAGTTGTTGGAGTCGGTGTATGTTGGATCTTACGACGGTGGTGCATGGAGACTTATGGTGTAGAAGATCATAGGTGTTGTTTATGGCGACTTCGTACAACATCAGTGGCCTCCCCCTTCCATCTTGTCCTTCCATTTATGGTGTCTTTTTCGGTTAAAATTGCCAGAGCTTAATCGACATGCTCCTAGGTGTTTTTAGCTCATGTTTTATTTTGTTGTTCATCTCCGTTGTCACCGGTTAAAACGTTTGGACGACATAAGTTTCTCTTTCTTGGTTCTTGTAAAGGACGTATGGCTCGCTGTGGATTCGAATGATCTGTGAGCTTGTTGCTTACTTCTCTTTCTTTAATTTATATATTATTATTATTATTAGAATCACAGTTGTTCTCCAGTTTTCTCACATATTATTCCCCTACATATCCCTCATATGCGGTTTGTTCGAGGCACTGTCTTTAACGAATCATCCGGTTTGGATTATGCTCACGATAAGGTTTTGACACCGGATTTGGTTCTTCTAGCTTTAGTGGTTTGGTGTGGAGGTGGAAGGGTTGTTACCGGTGGAATCGGCGCTTTAGGATTTAGAAGTGAACGTTTTTCCCTTTCGTCCCGCTTGACGAGAAAGCAGCGCATGGAGGTAGAGATAAGGCTCCCAGTCCAGGTCGGGTTTGCGGTTTCTCAAATATGCTGTCTCCGGTCTTTCTGCAGAGTGGTTTATTTGGATTAATACAAAAATTATCTTCTTAGATTTAAAGATTCCAGAAGCAAATATGGAGTGTTGTATGAAAAATATTTTATTCATCCATACACAAATAGATATATTATTTATTTTGGATTTATACTGTTACATTTGAAAAAAATACTGGAAGGGGCTGCAAACGAGCATCATAGTATAAACAGTGATTACACCATATTGATATAATGCTGATTGATTTTGAAAAAAAACATAAATTTATTATATGCTTTATAAGTAAATATAGAAAACTTTTATGGAAGGAATTTACCCAAAAGCTTTTCCTTATCTTTATTATAATATTATTTGAGAAGTCAGTTTCATACATGTCGCTCTCACGTTAACTCTCGCGATGGTTGATTACATAGATACCCTTAATAAATTGTTAGATTTTAACATTCTTATTAATTCTTTTAATTTATTTCTTTTTTACCTTTTTTCCAAAAAAATATATAATTAAAAGGAAATATGTTTAAAATTGTAAAACAAATTTTAAAACGAATATATATATATATATATATATATATATATAATATGACTTTATTAAAAAGGAAACTTCACAAAATAGTAATATCCCCATTAATATATGCTTTTAAATAACATAAAATATATTTTCAAAACAATAAAATATATATGTTCATAATTATTTGAGAAGTCAGTTTCCTACGTGTCGCACTCACGTTAACTCTCGCGATGATTGATTACATAGATACCCTTAATGAATTGTTAGATTTTAAGATTATTATTATTTTTTTCATTTAGTTTCTTTTTTAGCTTTTTCCAAATAACATATATAATAAAAAGGAAATATTTCTAAAATTTTAAAACAAAATTTAAAACGAAAATATATGTATATAATCTGACTTTATTAAAAAAGAAACTTCACAAATAGTAATATCCCCATTAACAGATACTTTTAAATAACATAAAATATATTTTTAAAATAATAAAAATATTATGTTCATGAAAATTCAAAAACTTATCAGTTACACTTTACTTTATAATATTTTTAGACATCACAATAAATTTGACAAATATTATGAAAATACATTTATATTTAAGCGATAAATAAAACTAATTTGATTTAAATTAACTAAAATAAAGAGTAAATAAATATTATGAAAATACATGTATATTTAAGTGATAGATAAAACTAATTGGATTTGACTAAAATAAAATAAAAATAATTATACTTCATATTAAGTTTAAAATATCTTTAACTCAATATACTCACAAAATGAATAGCTCGACCAATCTAATTTATATCCAAAATTAAACATCTAACTATAATAAGAACATATAATTTTAGAATAATAATAATCTATTTAATTTTATGGATATAAATTAGAGGTTGACTCAAAGCATATTAAAAAGAAAAAGAAAATATTAACCAATTACAATTTAATTCTTTTGTAGAATTTTATATGCATGAGACTTCAAAATATTATCATTATATTCATTTATGTAATTTTGAATCAAACACTTCAGCTTATTATTTATTTAATTTTAAGCATAACATATATTAAGTTATACATAATTTAACTATAATATATTTATATATCTAAGAATATATTTACATATCTAAGACAATAACCAACCGAAATGAAAATAAGAAAATTAGTCAAAGTTTTATTATATTTAGAATAATAAATACTATAGCTGAATTCGAAAAACAGATATTATCCAATATACCAAAAATTGATAATCAAACCGACTATTGATCCAAAAAATAATTAAACCGACAATAATATATCTAAAATCATATGTATAAATCATTTGTATAATTAGAATAATATAATATTTATTAATATAAATTATACATATAAATTTATTCAAAATTAAAACAAATATTAATTAATTATTATAAAATTGTACTTTTATGAATATTCATACCCGTGCATGAGCACGGGAAAATCACCTAGTTATACTAATATGGCATAACTTGCAATAAAAGACAATGATTAGGCCTAACCACGATGGTGTTTTTGGTAGATTGCTTGAAATTTTTGAAAACGACAACCATACCAACGGATTTGTTAGTGTTCGCGATTTTGTTTGTAAAAGGATTTGTATTCTCAAATTTTTCAGTACTCTCAAATTGAAGAATTTTAAATGATGCAAGAAAAATATTAATGGTTCTTCAAGTATAAAAATCCAAATTTACCTTAAAGTGGTCGATAATTTCTCAGTAGTTTTAATTAATTAACAGTTTTCTTGTCAACCAAATATTATATGATAGCTCCAAACTAATATTCTCTACTCTCAATTGATAAAGTTAAAATAGTCTACGTTTAAGAGAAGGATAAATAATGACTAGGTTATATAGTAGACTATACATCTAACAATTATATTAATCGTTTTAAATTGATAAAATTAAAATAGTTAAGAGATGATAAAGAAAGACTAGGTTATAATAGATTTGTTATATTTTATTTGTTATATACAAAGTAAACATTATAATTGACAAAAATTAAGATAATCTCTGTACGGACATCTACAAAAAAAATTCTGTTTTAGAATTTACACAACTATATTTGAAGTTTGAATGTGTTATATTCCAAAACAAAATTTTAAATTTAACTTCAAAACTATTTGTACTTTTTACAACGGTCTTTATATTTGTCAGAACTAATTAAAATTTATAGGACTTTTATAAATAACTATCACATATATAAAAATATTACAGCAATACTAATTGATGAAATATTACACTAAAATATAAAAATATAAATAAAATATATAATTAAATATTAAACTATAAACAAAATACTACATTAAGTTTTTTAATATTATTGTTGTCTAGTTTTAGTTTTAAATATTTTAAAATCTTATCTTGATGTTTTTAAGAAAAAGTTATACATAAAATTTAAATTTATAAAAAAAATTGAAATATTTAAAAGATACGAATTTTTAAGGATTAGAAAGATAAAAAATAATGAAAATTTATAAATGTGACATTTAATTGTAAGGACCAAAACGCAAATAAAAATAGGAAAAATTCAAATTTGAAGTTTTGAGTAGTGATAATCTATATTTGAAATTTCATTATTCAAAACTTCAAATTTGAAGTTTTAGATATTTTTTTTTTGAAAGTCAAAAACTTCATATTTAAAGTTATAAAATGATTTTTTGGAGATGATCTAAAAATAAAGAAAACATAAAAGATAAGCGTATATATCGGGTTTCACTGGTTGAGGCTGTACCTTTAAATATTTTGTTGTAAAATTTAAGTTGTATACCTTTTTCAATGTAGCTTTAAAGTTTTTACTTTCATTTTACTAAATCAAAATTTGATCAGTAAACATTAATTATATGTTATAAGACTCATAAATCTGTTACAAAAAAAAAAAAAAAAGTTATAGAGTATCGTAAGCAAAGTTTGATTGGAAGAATTTGGTGGCTGTTACATAGCCTAACGCACTAAAAAATAATTCGTTTATCATGTTCAACGTGAATTATCAATTGAATAAAAAAACACATAATTACATGGGAAAATTGTAAATATAGAACAAAAAAACTAATAGATTGTCCCTATGCCATAACAAGAAGTATAAGTTGTCCAATTAGTATAATATTTTCGAAAAACCCAATTAAGTCCCTAATCTAAACCTTCATAATTTTTATTATTTTAATTATTAAAAACAAAATTAAAAGTAAAAAATAATATTAATAAACAAAAGGGGGAAAATCGTTTTATTCTCAATTGCGGTTTGTACGAACCCTAATTTTCACCCCTCTGTTGGCGATAGAGAGAAGAGCCGACTCCAAGTCATCGGCTTGTCAGAGCTCGCCGTCGCCGGTGTTCCTTCTTCCCGATAAGACTCCGGTGGTATTCTTCTTCTTAATCGAAGTCTAAGAAACTCTTGCTCACTCTGCATCTCGTTCTGAAGTAAATCCCTAACAGTGAATCTCGTGCCTCGTCGGAAAGTGAAGCTCGGGCCTTGCCGCTCTGCAATATATACTCTCAAGTGTAGTTCAAGCAAAACGATAGAGATTTGCAGGTTTGTTCAAGTAGTTGTTATTTTTTTTTGTTTTTGCATGTCTTTGTATCTTTAATTTTATTCGTTTTTTACTCATATATTTGATTGTGATAGGTTTGAAATGTAGTTTCTATGAATGATTTGAGTGTTTGTTATCAAAGTTTCATTCTTAGATTTTTGTCATTGGTTTTGCTCTTAAAGTTTTACACTTGTTTTTTTTCATCGGATTTGGTATTAAAGTTTCATACTTGTTCATGTTTGTCATATGTTACCGTTTAATTTTTTTTTGTGACCACCAATTTTGCTATTAAAGTTTCAGGCTTGTGTTGACATAGCTCGAGTTGGTGTCTCATATATATACAATTAGCTTGGGTTTTACATCTAAATATCTTGTAAGGTATGTGGTTTCGGTTTCGGTTTCAGTTTTTTTCTTGGACTTGTGAACATAAATTCGCATGTCTTCTCTCTTTGATTTGAGTGTCTTTAATCCTAATATGAGTATAACATGTTTATATCATTGATTGTGTGAATAATTTAGGCTTATATGATAGCAAAGTTTCTTAATTTTTGATGTTTTTGTGGTTTACCAAATTGTTAACTCAATTTTATACAGTTTATGTTGTTTTATCTCGTTTAATTGATGTAATTGGAATGGTATGTGGTCTCGCTTTTGCATTATTGTCTTCGTTTTGCTTTGACTAGGGTGTCTGATTTATACATTACTCATGAGTACTAATTGTATTTGTTTCATTGTTCACAGGTACCATTATGGATCAATTGCCTAAGTGCCTTTTCCAAGAAGGTACCGAAACTAAAATTAAGGTCAACAACACTTTCCGAGCTACGATCCTTGAGTTGGTGCAAGCGTCCGTTCCAGCTGAGTACTCGGATGTCTTGGAGGATCCGCTCTTTGCTCAAGTCATGGCCGTTCATGATCACAAGCTTGGCTATTCTGGGACAGTGATCCACACCTTCATTTGTAAGAAGCTTCTGACCGCAAAGCTTCATGAGTTGTGGTTCCATTTTGCTAGGAGGCCTCTTAGATTTTCAATGCAAGAGTTCTATGCGATCACTGGTCTGAAGTATGAAGACGAACCTGACTTGGATATCGATGATTGGAAATCTGATAAAGGGTTTTGGAGTCTGTTGCTTAAGAGGAAAAAAAAGATAACTCTACAACAGATCAGGAAGGTCCATCTAAAGAAGTGTAATACGTGGTCTCATGTTGATAGACTGAGATTGGTGTATTTGTGTGTTATTTCTGGTATGGTTATGGCGAAGGATGAGAAGGTGGGGATACCACACAAGTACATCAAGCTAGTGATGGATTTCGAGAAGATGAGGAAGTACCCGTGGGGACTTCATTCCTTCAACATGCTGGTGAGTTCCATTATCGATGCTAGGAACAAAGTGAAGACGAAGAAGAGTTATGTTATAGATGGATTCTCCTATGCACTTCANCGATGCTAGGAACAAAGTGAAGACGAAGAAGAGTTATGTTATAGATGGATTCTCCTATGCACTTCAGATTTGGGCGATGGAGGCAATTCCAGACATTGGTACTCTTTTGGGTCAGAAACTTGAACAAGGCGTCATGAGCATGAGATGCAGAAACTGGAAAGAATCTTGTAGGATTTCCTTTGAAGATATTAGTAGCCTTGAGTCTGATTTTACCTCCACTGTAAGTTTTGATTCAATTTAATGTGATTTAATTATTTTATCTTAATGTATCTGTTTTCACCTTATTTCTTTGTTTATATTGTGTAGGGAGTTTTGTTTCCATCCATCGCTTCCAACGGAACGTTCTCGGATGTTATTGTTCAAGTTGAGTTTGCACAAGCGGGTGAGATGAATGATGAAAGAGTCGATCTCATCATTGACATGTACCGGAACAACTATGATTGGAGTAAGCATGTATGGGCTTATCATGAAACTCGACACTCATACGTACCTAGTTCTGGTGAAGAAAATACAGAAGCAGAAGAGGATGTAGAAACAAGTGAGAATGAAATGGAAGAAGAAACAGAATCTGCAGCTGCGCCTGTTGCAAGAAAGAGGAAAAAATGGTTTCAAGATACTGGTGTTCAGTCAAGGAAGAAGAGTTTACTCTCCCAAAGATCAGCCGAGAAATATAGAGAGCTTGAAGAGGAAATGAAGTCTTACATTCATGGCATGTTTAAGTCGTCCTTCACTTCCTTAGCGCTTGATGTACATGATACAATTAATGACCGGTTTACCAAATTTGAGGAGAAGCTCCTCGCATCT